TGCATAAGCGATTGGTCATGTTGACTATACGCTGATCGGCAGGCGAGAGAGAGGGGAGGCCGAGAAGGAAGGCACGCGACCGAACCGGCGAGAGAAGGCACCGGAAGGCCGAGAAGGAAGAGCACGGCGGCGCCAGCCAGATCGCGGCGATCAAGCCGGCGCGAACCCCTCCGCGAATTGTTCGGACGAGGCTCTCACTTAGCAGATCAATGCGGGCCATGTCGAATGTCGATCTCAAACATCTGAATATTCTGCAAAGCTACAGCTCGCCGCCATGCTCGAGCAAAGCGGCCTGAACCAGGAAAGATCTCTAGAGCAAGCTGTCGTCCCGTCACAGCTGCCTGGCGAGCGGCGTCCTCAAGATCTGCGACCTGGTGCGGGCGGCGGCAGTGTGGGCCTGGCGCTGCGCGGCGTGCGAGCCCACGCTACTGTCGGAAGCCCGCCGCCCACGCTTCTTGATCTCGGCGAGAGGGCGGGCGCGGGTGGCCAGCCCGTGGATCGCCCCACTGTGTCGGAGCTGGCACAGCGTGGGAGGCCCCAGGCTGCCGAGGCCCACGTCCACCGCGGCCTGGGAGAACAGGGCGGCCCAGCTCGAGCACTTCAGGTCGAGCAGAGGCGGCGTTGCGCCGCGGCCGGCCCTGAGCCGCGACAGCAGGCCTCCCACCCAACAGAACACCGTGTTGTCGTGGCTCAGCGGCTTGTCGGGCCCGCCCGTCCTTGGTGGCGTGCTGCACTCCGACTCGAACGGCCGCAGGGTCCACATCGCCAGAGCTCTGGGTCCCTTCGGCGACAGGTCCTGCTGACAGTACGCGAGGGCCACTAGGAGGAAGGTGACCACCGACCTCAGGTAGCCCTGGAAGAACAGCGCATGAAGGTAGGCCGTCACCGCCGAGACGAGCTGGGTGGCGCTGTCGATCACCCGGCTGGCTGCCGCACACCACAGACAGAGCTGACCCACAATTCGCTCGCACCGAGCTTCCTGATACTTCTTCTCGGTGCGCCTCCCGAGCAAGGACGGGCCGAGCTCGTCGACCGTCGACTCCGCCACGTTGCCCCGGCGGCGGCGAGCAGCGAGATCGGCTCGAAGGCCTGGCTCGAGGCCGCTGGGCGGTGCCAATGATTGCGCCACGGGCTGCTTGTGGCACCTCCGAGCGGTCGAAGTCCTCGCTGCTGGCAGCCGCGACTGGGGCATCAGCGGGGCAGAAGTCGACGCCGAAGGCCCGACCGAGCCTGGCTGCAAAGGCGCGGACGCGGCTGTCCCGCTGGCCGCGGGCGTCTCCGTTCAGCGGAGCATGTCTCGGTCTGGGCAGGACAGCAGCTGGGGGGTCGGGCGCACGGGGCTTGGCTGACGCCTCGGCCCAGTCACCCTGCTTGCGCCTTGAGCCTCGATCTGCAGGATTGTGCTCTGAAGGAAGCCACCGCCAGCGAGAAGTCATATTGAAGGCAAGGTTGAGACCACCGATCTGACGACAGACACGCATCAATCGCGAGGATGAACGGCCCTTGGACACGGCAAGGATGCTGGCCATGGCGTCACCCAAGTACAAGTGGCGCTTCCCGAAATTCGCCATGGCACTCGTCTTGTGGAGGTGAGCTAGAACCGCGTTGCGGCCCTCGAGGATCACCTGGGCCTCCGAGCGGGCCCACCGTCGCACCGAGACACGCCGCCATTCGCCGTCCCATATACTCGAGTCGATGTCGAGCTTATCCTCTGGAACCTCGGGGGCGGGTCGAAGCCTCCTAGAAGAACGAGCGAGAGAGCATGATCCCGAGGTCGATAACCCAATTCATCTTCACGAGAAAATCTCCACCTCTCCTTGAATCGACCGAGCGACTTGACAGTGCCGACGCCCACCTTCTGCCGCACGATACACCCTCCCCAAAATGACGCATCGACAGCGAGAACCTCCTCGGACCAAGCAGCCCCAATATTCCGTGATGCGAGGAAGATGAGCCCAGCGGCCCAGCCCAGTTCACGTCGAACAGAGCCCCAAAGACGGCGGCGATGAGGTCCAGCGTCAGCTGCAAAGGAGTAACAGGCCGAGAAAACGCACAGCAACTCGCGGCGGATGAGAGCACGTGTCGTGTAATGAGACATGATAACCGTAAGAGTCCCCCCGCTGACATACCCTTCCTTGAGGATCTGTGGAATAGCCAATCTGATCTCCCAGACGACGCGAGGACTCAAACCAACTGTAGCGTTTTCGTCGGAGAAGGTCCAACCTAGAGCTGTCGCGCCGGGACCCGACTCCACTGGATGCGTAGGAAGATCCACCCCACTCAACTCCTGCTGCACCTCCTCCGCCACGCCCCTGACAACCTCCCGATCCTTCCCGAAAGCGAAAAAGCTATCAACATACTCGGTGTGCGCGCAAGGCTCCAGACACGGAGGGGAGAGATGATCGACGACGGCATTGCTTTCAGACACGCCTCGAACCCCCCTGACTCGATACTCCAGCACTTGCTGGCAGGCCCAGAGAGAAAGCTTCCATCCCATCGGGATCACCTTCAGGACTGGAAAGAAGTACTGGCCCCGTCTGACAGCGCGGCCTTGGGCCGTCGAGACATTCACCAGGTCGGCCCGAACCCTCGGGAGGACGAACACGTCACGAAGAGCTTCGGGTAATTGCACGTTGTAAAAAGCGTTTACGATATCGACCGAGCCGACCTGGACGGGAGCCGCACTGTCAACCTCTATGGCCGAAAAGGCAGCCCCAGACGCCAGCGCCACGGGGTCGCTATCTCGAAAATGGCAAGATGGTTGCCTACCATCAACTATCAAGCGATACTTCCCTGACTTCTTATAAACAAAGAACAGCCCGCATGAGACCTCGCCCGACAAATGCCCCTCGATCAGGTCGCAGTCGGCCACCCCACGCAGCAACTCCGCGTAAAGGGCGGGCGACCGTCTGAGAGCGGGGTCCGAGTAAGGCCGGGCAGGTCCCTCGAGCTTAGCTATCTCCCTGCCAGTAGATTCTGGCAAGCGCAATTGAATTAACCGCTCAGCAATCCCTTTGCCCCGATCACAAGCCAGATGCTCGAGAGACCGCGAAACAGATCCAGCCGCCGGTAGGTCGACCAGGTGGGCGGGGTCCATGCTGAGGGGAGCAATCACGGCGCCGTCGCATTAAGCACTCTTTGCCCGAAGCGTTTGAAGGGCTCCCGGGCCGTTCAGATCGTCCGGCGGCGGCCCCACCGAGATGACCGACTGGCGAATCATGTTGAGACTGGCCTGCTGGCTGGCGGTGGGGCCCTGGGTCTTCCATGGACAAGATGAACCAAGGTACAAATCATTCAAAGCGCCGGCGACCTCGTCACACACCTCGTCAACGTGGTTGGCACGCAGCAGCCGACGTCGGGTAGACCTGCCTAGGTGCACAGCAGTTCCTCTGAAACCCCGATGCAAAACTGAGGTGGGCCGACGGAGTTACGCTGCCGCTCCTCCGCCCAAAAAGGATGACTGCGAGCAGACGGCCTCCCCGGTGCAAGTCCAGGAGGCCCTCCCTGAGAGGCGCGTTCGCGACGGGGCTGGTCGGGAGGTCGGTCCAGCCCCGGCGGGGGAAGCATCACCCCTGCTCCTGATGTCCTTCCTCTCCCTGCTTCACGAGCTCCGCCGTCTCCTCGTGGGCCTCGCTGACCTGTGCGAGGATCGCTGCGTCGCGCTCGACCTGGCCAGCCTCGTGGGCGATGAGGTCCAGGCCGACCATCGCCACCCCCGAGTCCTTCGTCGTTCTCAGGAAGATGGTGGTCTCATCGAACACCGCGAGCTGCAACGAGGATGAGCTCCTCTTGTTCTTGCCCTTCGGCCCCGAGCAGGGCGAGGCCAAGAAGTCCATGTGGTACACGTACTCAACCCGCAGCGCCCTACCGAGAACGAGCTCGATCGCGGCACTGTTGCTGACGTCAATCATGTTGTAGTGGAGGCCCTCATCCCAGCAGCGCATGGCAGTGTCGTGGACTTCCCCGCCCCAGTCATCGGTCCGCACGCCGTCGGTCATGAGGAGCGATCGGTGATGCCTGAGAGGCCCTCCATGTCGGTGAGAGAGCCAGCTGCAGCACCACGTGATGGTCCTGGGCCCGAACATGGGCCAGTCTCGAAAGAGTGACTCCCGCAGCTGAACATCTGATACGATGAAGCGACCCCTGAGACGATCCCGTGACGCCAAGATCGTGGGCATGGTGACCCTCAAATCGTGATGGCTCTCCATGGTGGGGTACTCTTCCACGGGGTGAGCCTGCAAGTCGCGGAACACCACGGCCGTGCCCGAGGGCGCGGTGAAGATGCCGACCTCGCTCTGCACGTGGTCGGTCTCCGCCAAGGCAACGGGAGTCCCGCGAGGGCCGTGGATGGTCGACTCCACCGTCTCCCGTTGACTCCCAGCGGCGCCCGCGGACACGCCGCCCGCAAGAGGAGCAGCGGGGGTCCGGTCACCAGCTGCTGGCTCCAGGCCGCCCTCAGGCATCACCGCGGGCGGCTGCGCTCGAAATATGACTGCGCCTCCGGGCGGAGCCCCCGCCGGCAAGCCCGCCGCCGCTGCCTGCTGGGTGTACAAGTCATCTGCTGCCTGACGAGCCTGGCTGATGGTCTCCGCGAGCTCGGCTGCAACGGGCGGGCGTCGGAACCTGCGTGCCTCGGCCCGCGCAATCCCGGGGGGGATGGTCCGTCGATCTGAAGCGAGAAGCACCGCCTGGTAGTAGGGGCTCGACTCACCACGTTGCTCGAGGTATACATCAGCGTCGGGCGTCATGAACCTCTTCAGCAGCTCATTGACTGGAGTCACCTCCTGCGGCCGCAAGTGGTCCCAGACTCGCTGGTGCTGCCAGCCTCGATTCCCGTGGTGCAGGATCCAAGCCCAGGCCTGAACGGTCCCTGACGCCATGGCGGTGGGAGGCTGCCAGAGAAATTGATCCACAGCGGCCAGCCGTAGCGCCGAGCCCTGCACCACGAGCGAAGAGAGAAAGCCTAGCACCACGTCCCAGAAGCGGCGCGAGAGCGGCATCACGTCGGGCGCTGGGCAGACTGGAAACTCGGGCAAGCCGCCTGCGTCGCTGTCGGGGACCCAGGGCACGCTGGATAACTCAGTAACGAGGGGCAAGTCAGCTGGTACGTGTATGGTGGACTCTCGGGGTAGGCAGGAGCTGAGAGGCAACGACTGTGGTGAGATGGCGCCCGCTCTCAGCCAATCGGTCACCCGGTTCAGCGTTGAACCGGGCTTTCGCTTGAGCCAACAAGGTCACGGATACAACACTCAGGCGTGATGCAAGCCAGCGACCTTCACGGCGGCCCAACCCCGAGACAGAAGCTAACAAAGACGTGTTAAACACTAGGCATGGAACTGTGCGCACATCGACTCATACATTCCCCTGTAAAAGTTCTCAGCAACCGAATTGTTACAAATAAGCCTACCAAATTGGTTTCGAAAACTTCGCACGACGAAAGGAGCGCCGGCATACTGATACATTCCCTGGTAGCGCCGGGCAATGTATCAGTCTGCGAAAATCATTTGGGAAATTCCCGAAAGCTCCAGAAAACTTGAAAACCCCTTCGCCTACCCCTGCCGTCCGTAGCCATCTCGAGCCTCTCCCGATTACCAGCAAGCAAGGGGTCCCTGGAGGTCTGGACCTTTTCACCACGGCTGGCCCTTCATCCAGTCGTTTCTTACAGTCTCGGGGCCAGGCGAGGGCCCACTGACGCCACAAACCACTAAGGTCCAACGTTGCAACAAAAACTGAAACATCGACACAAATCACGATCAAAGTCCGGGACCACATCCCTCTGCGATATTTTTCGGTCTGGGTCCATCTGTGATGAAACTGGGCGAGAACACCCGGTCGGAAAAAATTGCAACGCCCGGATCTAAGGGCCTCCCAGATGGGGTCCGAGGAGAGGGGGTCGGAGGATCGCGCCGCATCGCCGATGGATCGGCGCCGCCGGCGTGGAGAAAATCGGGCTCCACATCGAGCCGCATCGCCGATGCATCGGCGACGCGGCACGATCCTCCGGCCCAACCTGCCCCATCTGGGGGGCCACCAGCGGGGCCGAGCACCGCGGCGCGCCTCCGCCTCGGGGGCGCCGCCGCGCACCCCGCCGCCGCGGGCGCCCGCAAGCATCCGCGCGCGCCCGCCGCAGCTCCGCGCCGCCGCATGCGGCGCTCCCGCGGGCGGGGTGGCCGGGGAGCCCAAGAGCCCGCCCCGGGCCCCCTGGCCCGCCGCGCGGGTCTCCCGCGATCTCCGACGAGCTGAACGTTTCAGTCCGGGCGCTCTCCCTCGATCGGGGACCCGCTGACCCGGGTCAATCCGGACCCAGGTCAGTCGGGCCTTGCAGGGTCCTGCAGGACCCTGCAGGATCGGTCCTGCAGGATCCTGCATCAAGCCTGGGTCACGGGTCAGTGCACCCCTGGCCCGGCAAGATCCTGCAAGCTCCGGCGCTCTGACTGAGCCCCGTTTGCGTGGACCCCCGTCTCTTGAGCCCCGACTCGCGTTCGGCCGTGACCGGGGCCTCGGGGCCATCACGAAGGGGTGCGGAACGACAAACTGCCCCCAGGGAAGCGGTCGAGACCCCCGGGGCCGCGGGCTGCAAAGGTCGCATCGTCGGACGTCTGGGTCTCCGCTGCGGGTCCCCGAGGCTCGCGGAGGAAGAGGCACCGAAGCCGCTGCTCGTCCTGGAGAGCCCTCGTCGCCACGGCCGGGGCCTCCTGGAGGAAGTCTGGTCAGCGTGCATCCCAGGCGAGGTCCGCGGAGCAGCGGTGTCGAATCTCTTGCTGCTCCCCAAAGAAGGCGGAGGGTCGGCCGGAGCAGCGACGGAGGGAGGGGGGGGGACACGGGGGGGGGAGGAGGGAGGGGAGGGGAGGGCGGGGGGGGGAGGGACGGGAGGGAGAAGGGGGAGAGGAGCGGGGGGGATTTTGAGCACGACCGCTGCGCCGCATGACTCCGGCATGCCACCATTGTCAGGCAGAAGAGTGACCCCCTTCTCTGTGGGGCGGAGCCCTCTGCGAATTTTGTTCCAATAAACTGAATTGTACTTGTCCTTGCCTCACTTCTTACTAATGCGTGGACCCGTACACCACTCTACGAGCTTGGCCAGGCGGGCTCCGGACGTGTAACGTTTACAAGCCATGAAAACGACAAAGCCGCGCCGAGGTCGACGTCCCTGGGGGCCTCCTGGGGCCTGGGGCCTCTGGGGGGGCCGGGGCCGCCGCAGCCTGGCTCGCCTGGCGGCAGGTAAGCGAGGACCTCCGAGGACGAGGGCGGGCCTCTGACTTTTGTTGCTGTGTTTTTTTGTGGGGGGAAGGGGAGTGGGGCCTGGAGGTAATGGCCTTCACCATTGCCTCCGCCCCTAGTGGATGGGCAGCCACATGCGAGCCCCGCCCCGTGCAGGTCAGACCTCCGAAAAGCCGGCGGGGGCCCAGAATCGGGGGACGCCTGCCGCCGAGCGAACCCCGGCGGGGGCGTCGGGCACCTCGGCGTCGAGTGGACCCGCAGGGGCAGGGCTCGCTGGCGGTCGCCCAGCGGAGCTCTGCTCCGCGTCCTTCGCTCCACTCCGCGCGCGGCCGTCGGCATCGTGACGCTCCCGAAAGGAGCCGCCCGCGGCGCCGCCGCCCCGCCGCGGCGGACGCCTCGGGAGCGGCTTCCGCCGCCGACGGCCACGCGCAGAGAGCCGGGGCGAGCGGAGGCAGCGGCCGCGAGGGCCGGGCTCTCGCGGCGGGTCGAGCTCTCTCGCCACGGTGGGGCCGTTCGCGCGGCTCCCCCCCTCTGGACGAGCGCGTGCCACGACTCGCAGGGTATCTGCTCGCAAATGGCCTGGATCCGCCGCGGGGGATCGGCGATGAATTACGTCGAGGGAGACATCTGTGGGACGCACATGGACATACTAATACTATATGTCCTCCTTGGAGGCGCGCGTCCGACCCGAATATGTAGTATACACATCTTGTAGTAGATCGTTTCCCGAGCGGTGTGGCCAGAAAGCGCACGCCACGACGCATATACTATAAGATTTCTCGGTGCGCGCGTCGCCCCTGGGGGGGCGACGCACATATAGTATAAGTATGTTGGGGTGTTGCCGACAGCTGGACCGAGAAACATGCACACAGGAGGATCAAGAAAACCAAAGGCGTGATGAGGCCTGGTGCAGCCAGGCTCAAAGGCATCATGCGGAGCTTCGCAGGACTTTGCCGCACCGGGCGGAAAAATTCGACCCGAAGTGGGGGGCGAGGCGCGAGGAACGGCCGAGCGGAGCAGCGGCCCGTGGATATCTACTCCGCCGCTCCGCTGTCTCTCTCTCTCTCTCTTTCTCTCGCTCGCCGGCGAGTCCAGGGGGGAGGTGAGTGAAGGGGCCCTGGGACACACAAATTCGCCGGCCCAACGGGCCAGAGGCGTGCTACGATCTCCAGTAACTGGTTAACAATAACTCTTTACTTCGCGCGCGCGGAGCGGCCCCAGGGGGTCCCCGGCCGGAAAGTACCCCGGCAAGGTCCCGGGACACTCCCGGCAAACTCGGGTCAGATGGTTTCCTCCTGGGTGCGGCCTTCCACGCTCCCCGGAGCGCGCCAAGATGGCCCCAACAGGCTTCCAAGACGGTCCAAGAGGGTTCCGAATCACCGAACGATCGGCCCAAGACGCCCAACACGGCCTCAAGACGGCCCAAGAAGCTTTCAAGACGTCCCAAGAGAGCCCCGACCGTTTCCAAGAGAGCCCCAAGAGGCCAAAATCATTGATTTCCATTCGGTTTTTCAAGGTTTTTGGCTTCCTCGCCTTTTCACCTTTCCAACGCTCCAAGACGGCCCAAGAAGCTTCCAAGACCACCCCAAGACGGCCCAAGAGGCCTCCAAGAGAGGCCCACGACCGTCCAAGAGAGCCCCACGACAGCCCAAGAGGCGCCCAAGACGGTCCAAAAGGACCCCAAGAGGGCCCCAAGAGGGGCCCAACATGGAGACCACGAACCGAGAATCCGAGCCTTCCGCTCCAAGAGGCCTCCTGGAGGCTCCAAGAGGCCCCCAAGAGGCCCCAAAAGGCGACAAGGGGCCCGAAAGAGACCCCAAGAGGCTCGACAACGACTCCCGAGAGTCTCCAAGAAGCCCTCGAGAGGCATCCAACGAGATCCCAATGAACGTCCACGAAGCCTCAGAGCGCCAAAACCATTGATTTCCATTGGGTTTTTCAAGGTTTTTGGCTTCCTCGCCTTTTCGCCTTTCCGACGCTCCAAGACGGCCCAAGAAGCCTTCCAAGACCACCCCAAGACGGCCCAAGAGGCCTCCAAGAGAGCCCAAGACCGCCCAAGAGGGCCCCACGACAGCCCAAGAGGCGCCCAAGACGGTCCAAAAGGACCCCAAGAGGGCCCCAAGAGGGGCCCAACATGGAGACCACGAACCGAGAGTTCGAGCCTTCCGCTCCAAGAGGCCCCCTGGAGGCTCCAAGAGGCCCCCAAGAGGCCCCGAAAGGCGACAAGGGGCCCGAAAGAGATCCCAAGAGGCTCGACAACGACTCCCGAGAGTCTCCAAGAAGCCCTCGAGAGGCATCCAACGAGATCCTAATGAACGTCCACGAAGCCTCAGAGCGCCAAAACCATTGATTTCCATCGACTTTTTCAAGGTTTTTGTTTTCCTCGCCTCTTCGCCTTTCCGACGCTCCAAGACGGCCCAAGAAGCTTCCAAGACCACCCCAAGACGGCCCAAGAGGCCTCCAAGAGAGGCCCACGACCGTCCAAGAGAGCCCCACGACAGCCCAAGAGGCGCCCAAGACGGTCCAAAAGGACCCCAAGAGGGCCCCAAGAGGGGCCCAACATGGAGACCACGAACCGAGAATCCGAGCCTTCCGCTCCAAGAGGCCTCCTGGAGGCTCCAAGAGGCCCCCAAGAGGCCCCAAAAGGCGACAAGGGGCCCGAAAGAGACCCCAAGAGGCTCGACAACGACTCCCGAGAGTCTCCAAGAAGCCCTCGAGAGGCATCCAACGAGATCCCAATGAACGTCCACGAAGCCTCAGAGCGCCAAAACCATTGATT